TTGACGGCACTGTACATAACCTCCCCAATCAAAAAGCGAGACAGTGTCGGGTGCACACAAAACACCACAACTGACGACGGCCTCCAAGCTGAACTAGTTTAGAGACCTGGTGCGTGCTCACGTGGTCTGGAGAGCGGAAGCGTACTTGGAATGGTGGAAGTTTAAGATAAATTCCTCACTAGGTGACGGCTACTGAGTCCCGTTACTTTGTTTGATTGATTTTGCATGATTTAAATAAAAAATTCGCGTTGAAAATTCCAGTGCAGTATGTAGCTTAAGTTAGTCTCATGACAATAATTCTACGTCTGAAATTTATGAGAAAACTAAGGAATAGAAACGAGGCCGAAGAACGAGAGTTGCTATCATTGGCGCTGGTCTCGCGTCATGATAAGCGTTCAAAAGCGCGCGGCGGTCGGACTACATACGTCACCTCACCGATAGCACCAAACCCCCTCATGCTCGCAAAGGTAATAGAATATTTGAAAAGCCTTAGGTCCACAAACATTTATTTTGTGGGGACTTCATCATCCGCCTGCCCCTAATTACTCCTTACCTCAAATCGAACAACCAAAGAACTGAACGTCGCATATGGAAGGTTTACCCTGCACATTCTCACGATTTGTGACTCAGCGCTTCTTATCAACGCAAACCTGTTCAAAGAGTCCCAGGGGTTTCTATATGAAACTACGCGGTGAAAAGCAAAACGGGTGAACCATCAATTTGTTTACTTGTTATCAACAACATTTACGTGATCACAGTTTAGGTCATGACATGTGGCGCTGCGAATAGAAAAGATTTTCAAACATGTACATAATATAAGTACAAAAATACAAATATATTACATACATATACATATGTATATTATACCAATATATGGTGGCAGCCTTAAAGGCATAGCATAGGATGATTTCTAGTGGATGAATCCTTCTGATGAGCAGTATAGAACTGTGCACGATTGTAGCAGGTACCCATGTCCCGGCGCCAAAGTTCGCAATAAGAGCGGTATGGACTTGCAGAGACCGCTTCGACCGCTTCCATTTTTCCGTACCCAGCATGCTGGCGTCTGTCATTTTCTCATCCATTCTGCTTTTTTGCCTCCTCTCTCCTCCGTGTCCAGTCTCACACTGTCCATCATCATTCAAAAGGATGGCAATATAAAAAATCGACATTAACCCTGCATAGGTCCCGAAAATTTGCTTTGGCCTGCCAACTATGCCTCATAGACGATATTATTGAGTTTAATCGCCGAAAGAAACCAGACTCCGTTAAAATGTCACCCGAACCATTATGAGAAAGGATATGTGTGGTTTTTCCCGTAACGAGATTGATCAATACAGAACGCTTTGCAAACGGTTCTTAGTGAATGTGTGAAAACCGGATGCAATGAGCGATCTCAAACAATGCATTCTATGCTATGTTCTATTTCAAGGACAGTGATCACAATAGGTTAGAGGACGGTTAATTTGATCACGTTATGAAGCATTGGTGTAAGGGCATAATCGGTACTGACCGCATCTCGAGCCCGCTAAAGCCGCTGCTATACTTCGCCGGATTGCAGAGAATCATGGGTACGAGCGATTGCAGCCACCGGCTCAAGCAATGCCTCAGCAACTCTGCAGTTATCGCAAAGAAAAGTGGTAAGAGCTTCTCTCAGAGCGCAGCTGGACTCTTCGCTTCCTATTGCTCTTCATGCGAACACAAGTCTGAGAAAGTGATGGTAGTCAACGTGCAAACGGGAGGAAATCTTGCTACCTTCCCCAGTCATAGCGCTGGCACATCAATCAAACCGCGATGTCCGTGATTCCCAAAGTCTGTCATTGGCCTTAGGGGCCTGATACGCCAAACTAAACAATTGTCGTCAGCGGCGTCCAAACCGCCACTTAATCCCACCTATCGCGATGAATACCTTTAACAATTGCATTTGCCGTTGTCGTGATAGTTCTAGGATATTCAGGGTTCAGTGCGGCTTATGGTTGTGCCTCAATATAGGTAATCACAGAAGCTGAAAATGGTTTTATCCTCCGAGAACGAGGCTCTTTGCTTTTTTTCCTTCCTTCACCTCGCATGACGTCATAATCGGCTTCAACAGCTAGGCCGCACTTTCTGGTTCCTTTAAGGGAAGTAATTTTTCTCACGAGAATTTTCACACTTTTCTGGATGTGAATGAGATAGGTAGTATATAATTATCAAAGCAATCACAGCTGGTTGGGAAACCCGAAGAAAAAAAAGATAAAAATATAAAAAAAACCCACTCCCCACCCTAGCCCCCCCCCAAAGAAGAAAAACAGGATAAAGCCGAAAGTGGTAAATCATTAAAGAAGTTCTTGCAATACTGACTGACTGTTGTTCCAGAAGTGATTAATCCAAGCTTGTAACGCGATATAGTTCTCAGGACGTGTCCAACATAATTAGCATTGTTTGGAAAAAAAAACAAAAAAACATTCAAAAGGATTCTTTTCTAAGCAGTGGCCCCCCCCCCCCCCCCCCCCCCCCCCTTATTGAAACAGCAAACAAAGCAAGGAAATATGCTCAATAGGAATTGAGCCCTTAATTTTATTTGACTAGGGATACGATAGTTGATAATAAGATACAGAATAGTAAGTTACTACAGTGAGACCTGAGATGCAGAAAGCTGCTGTTAGACTGGTTGCTCATCAGAGCCTAGTGCCCAGGTAGCGTAACTTGGAGCGCACTTGCCACGGAGCTAGAGATGCGGGTTTCGAGACCCCCCTTCGGCAAAGTTTTGTTCATTACCCAGTTTCTTGTGAAAGCTGTTGAGAATGTTTAACAAGGCATGCGACAAAACTTACAGTTGACCCATCTCTTACAGGCAAACTTTGCCCATATCTCAGCATTCTTGTAAAACATTTGCTAACGAACTGTGGCGCTAAAACAGCCGTCAACTAGCAAAACAACATGTCAAAGCTAATGGGCGTTAATATCAAAGTCCAGGATCAAATTTATGTGGTAACTCCACATTTCCATTCCACTGCACTGAAGATATGGAAGTAGGAAGTGAAAGTAAAACAGATCGCGAGAAACTCAGAGAGAGTACCACCTTCCCTCAATTAGTTTATGCTGCGATTATGTCTAAGCAGAAAAAAAGCAGGAAAACCATACCAAATGAATAAATCTCAAAGCTGAGCATATAGAGATTCCCATCACTAAAAAAAAAAAAAAAAAATAAAAATGTTAGTAAGCATCCAAATAACTACGAATTCTGAATGGAATCCGTAGACATAGCACGTCTCAGATGAGCACAGGAAAAAGATCTTTCGCAGAGCTTCCGTCTGAGGCCTGTGCGGAACGGACGCCAAACTGAATCCTTATGCTGGTCCCCTCTTCATCGTGTTTATTCAAGTTGCTTAGGGTTACTTCGATTCTCTAAATGCTGCCCAACTTATTAGGTTTTTGAAGAAATAGGCACGTGATTCATTGCTGAGAAAATGGACAGCAGGATGGAGGGTAGAAGCATGGGTTCAAAAACCACTTTGCGTGCGGGCTATATTTCGAGGGCGTGAATATGTGATGAGGCTTAATAAGGAGCAAACAAAAGACCAAACGGTTCTCGTATGTAGTGCTTAAGACATTATTGGGTTAGTTTAATGGATCACCTCTTGAAATGTCCAGCACGCAGCACACAAATGGGTTAAATTCACAATAGTAATATACTAGAACGTTGGTGTTCGCTGCGCGTACCAGGAAAATGCATCGGATCGGCATTGTATAATTCGGATTGTTTGAAAAACAGTTGATGGTTATGAGGAAATGGTCGTAAGATTCAGGGAATGTTAACTGTTAGCATAGACAGGAATTCGATAACGATCTTCAACGGCAATTGAACCCAATGACCTTGGTCGCCCGCATGAGGAACCCATTCAGCCCAATAAGATATGTTTAGTTGTGAGGTTCAATAGAAATCTTCATTCAGCACAGTGATCTGCTGAGTTGCAGTAAAAGAAGGAGTCCGCCAGAAACCGAGGTTTCACTTTCGCAGCTGACATGGCGCATTGTAGGAGTAAAGAAGCCTCTGTACGTTTCCACGGACAAGAGAGCAAAACTCCGGCACTATTTACCCTTTACTGCCCCACTCCTCAAGAACTGAGCCGGATTTTGATCGAAATTCGTCCATGACTGTGGATTTTGCTAGAAACTTGCCTTCAGGGGTAATTTGACCCGTAGATCACGAATATATAATACCGCTTAGAGCCCGCGCCACAGGCGCCGGCGCTATCACAACAGTTTTGCGCGGGCGCTCGTAGCGCAGGCTACAGGTTCACTCGTAACAAACTGATGTGATAATCATATTCTACGGGTCAAAATACCTCTGAGGACAACTTTCCAGCGAATTTGGGGATCCGAGATGTTCTGGCGCCTTTTGGCGCCGGCGCTTCTGACGCGAGCGCCAGGCGTTCTAGCGGTAAACAAATGTGATATTCGTGTTCTACGGGTCGAATTACCCCCGAAGACAAGTTTCTGGCCAAATTCACAGTCAATGACCAATTTCGATAAAAATCCGGCTCAGTTCTCGAGGAGTGGGGCAGTAAAGGGTAAATAGTGCCAAACTCCTATATGTAATAGTCATGTTCTGCCTTAGAAACTAAAATACACCGTCTTCCATCAAGCAAGCAGGCAGGCCCTTGAATTGATAAAAATTTGAAGGTGTCGCGCATCCGAACTCCATACATCATCATAGTATTCGTTTTTTTTTTTTTTTTTTTTTTTTTTTTTCCTTCTCTTCTTTCCTATTATTCTCAAATAGACATATTGCGGAAAGGCGGTCCTGTGATCAGAAAGATGTAAAATGTTCAAACATCAGTTGGACTCTTCTTGAAAATTTTTGGCTAAAAAATTGTGGGCGTGGCGTATCCGAAAAATGACTGACCGCGCCGAGCGCTCCAGCCATTTCTCTATGTTATTTTGTTTATTATGTACCTATACATGCGGATAACTAACAATAATGACAAACATAAATAGCTACAATTCAATTCTAGTGTTGATCAGAAGGCCATTGCCGTCGCGAGGCTGGTAGGTACCGAACTTTGCCACGTAGCACCTCCTCGTTTTGCGATGAACAGCGATGCGCTTTCGTGCACCAACCTTTCGACCTGAAAGGAACAAAATCTCTAATTCCGTAGTACTTCAATGCCCACAATGGAACCAACTTTTGAATCCTCAAGATTTGCGAATGTTGTATACGATGCGACTTCAAAAATTTATTACCAAAAATTGAACCCAAAAGTGTTCCGAAGAAAGAATTTTAAAATCTTTGTTTTTTCGAGCGGCGATAATTCTTTGCTTAATACCTCTGACAGGAAATATTTTTCGAATTGGTGGGTTAGTTAGTATTTAGGGAGTTTCAACCAACTTACCATGCACTACCTTTATTTATATGGAAGTACCTCTACCGTGGTTAATTTAGGGTATAAACTGGTCCACCTAACCAACCGCGCCCTTTGACATTGTTAGGCCGATGTCAGCCTTTGCAAATCAAGCGATGTTCGTCTACTAGCGATTAGCTAGGTCCGCAGTCGTTGCGTTCAGGCAATTGAGCATCAATGTATACGACGCCCACCGGCGGCCGGGCTAGCAAATCGGGTCGCTTCGCAACAGTCTGACAGTCAGGCTTAGTGCGATAGTATCACCACTAAAGTTCGCGATTGATCGATGCTATAGGCAAAAAATCTTCTACATTTTCAGCACGAAGCCCACATTCCTTCAGCCCATGATTTTTCAATTTTTTGTTTCTTCAGAGGTTAACAAGGCACACTCCCTTTAGGGATGCAACAATTTCACGTAAGAAAAGCTACACGCTAACTCACCTTATCTTTGATTCGCAAATCGGCTGGATCGGGAAAGTTTTTGTTGATGCCCTTGTTCGTTGGATGCTTCACGTGCACGTCCTTTCGTACCTGAAAAAATTGTTACAGTACTGCGGATTAGTGGGCTGTTATAACATCATGGACTACCTCCCGACAAATACCATTCAAAAGACTATCGATTTCGAACAAAAGTCAATGCACGCGCGTATCTCCGAAACGTTATGAGAGCTGCAAGCTATTATTATTTTCCTTTCAAATAGTAGAAAGGGCACTATTTTCTATTCTGAAGAGGACCAAACATTAGGCGGGAAGAGGAAACTCCACGGTGAAAGAGCAAATTCCATTTTCCTCATAGTCCCTGCTCCCTCCCAGGCTTAGCTCTACCCGACAGGAGGCCCGTCGCGTGGCAAGATGGCATAGTTGGCGGACGAGTCTCAGCGTGTGATGTAGAACGTCCAATGGTACATTCTATTTCAATTGACGCCAAAACACTACAGTACTCGCTGCGACTCGTCCGCTGGCCCGTCTGCATCTCTACTTCCTTGCCGCGTAAAGGGCCTCCTGTCAGGTACCTAGTCTTAGGGGATACACCTGCATATTGCGGTAATACCTGAATAAGTTTTGAGCTGTCTGTAATGACTAATTCTATTCGTTAAGCCAGCTACCATCAAGAGGAAATCGCACCTCAGCATAGTACTGCACACGGCCGGGATAGTCCTTGTATCGATCGCAAACGTGCTTGATCAGGCCATTGTAGCCATGTTCGCCGATCTTCAAGTACACATCCGGATGTGTCTCATTTGCGTAGTAACAGCCTTGGAATTCAGACATGAGCTAACCTTTTCAGGCTATAGTAGCTTCTACAGGAGTTCACACTTACCAACAACCCATCGTCCAGTTTCTAGGCATAGCCATTGGAATCGACCGTCGCGGAATTCCGAACGGACCGTTTTAATCGTGCCATTAACAAGGCAGTGTGGCTCTAAACCATGAACAATTTTTCAAAGTGCAAAAAATTAATATTAAAAATGATGTAAATAGAATTAACAATTTCAATATTAGGCCGGCTATGGATTAGAGACAAAGTCCGCCGTCGAAGTGGTGTGTTATTTTTCTTGGAAGTGGCAGTGGAGAGGTGAAGTGCAACGCTATCAAAAAACGAGAAGAAACCTTCAACAACGATGGAAAAAGGCATCTTCCCTCCAGTAGCGGCGAAGCGAGATAGCTCTGATTTGGAGGCGGGGTATATAGTGGTGGGCGGAGCATATGATGAAAAATTGGACCTCAGCGCCTCAGCCTTATAAGTCGCAGCCTAAAGTGGGCACACGCTTAGCTGGGGACTTGGAAGAGAGCACGGATCGGATCCAAGCAAAACCTCGTTCGCTTGCCTTGCTAACCATTATATCTTCGGTAATTACACATCTCATAACCTACACAATTTTCAACACAGGTCGAGGGCGTGGCGCATTCTAGAAAAGGAACTGGTCAAGTCAACGGGTATAATCCTCATTCACTGTCCATTTATCGACTTCTCAGTGTATAGTTTATTGACTTTATGTAACAGATCTGCTCAATTTCAAATAACCGTAGCTATTGCTTCTCTCAGACCAGCTACAGCTAAACGAGCTAACCGAACTTAAAGGCACAACCCAGGCAGAAGTCGTGTGAACGATTTCCTTCGGTCTGTAGGATAACCCCTAGAGGACAATCACAGATGTGGCATTCCCGTGCACGGAAATCACCCGACAAGAGCGCTAGGGCCTTGCAAAGTGAGCTGCTGCAGCTGCAATTTTTCCTTTCATCAGGCTGTTGTCTGGCGCCTCTCATCCGCCTCTTGCCTCATACTCTCCTCTTAGCACTTATTCTCCTACTGCCTTGTACAGTCGCATCACGAAGGTGGGCAGGCCCTAAACTTATGATTA